CCCTCCCCCCCTTGGCCTCATCCCCCGTACGTGTAACAGCAACACTGCTGAAGAAGCCATATAAAGGCTACTCTCAAATATCGAAGCTCAGAACTGGAGCTCTTAGCTTAGCTTCAAGTATTGATGACTTTGCCAAAATGCTAAGAAAAACTCAAGGTAGATCCTGAGACACCATCGGAAGAGGAAGGCGTTAAAGATGTCTTCACACTGAAAGAGACCATACTTAAACCATGCAGGATGATGAAGCAACTTGATGGGTTCATACATCGAAAGCAGTCATATTCACTTACATCACAGCAGAAGCACCTCAGTTATTGTCAGTAACACGCTTACTGCGATACAAACTGTCATAACGTAAGATCTGGGGGCTTCAGAAGGCTATTCAACCCTGACACCTAGAGAGAACCGCCGACCAAAGATATGTTTCTCAGAAACATAATTATTGTTAGCCGTCCGAGTGCGTCTGAACTAGTTTGGCTAATACAGCTTCAACTAACCTATTCAGTCTGATTATGTCCTGTGACAAAGCAGCATTTTAAGACCCTCCGCCAGCTGTATATTTTTGAGTAGATCAAGTAATATAAGAATATTTTTTACCCTTTCCCCCTTCCTCTCACCAAGGTACTCGCCCATTACCACGGAGAAAGACGAGGACCCCACGTGACCGTGGAAGACCACATGATCGGTCAGGAGAAGGAAGGAGAATCCTTCATCACGATCCCCTAAGAGACCCGAGAGGGAGGAACAATCGTCTCCCGGGTGGACGCGATACCAACCTGATAATCCCCGAAAAATCAGGAAAGAAGAAACGAGGATGATTCGTAGCTATCACTCGTGGCACAGCTACCAGCTACCACATGTCACTGCCCCATTAGTATTAAGAGTTGTGAATACAATGGCTGCAAGTTTCGGGAAGGAGAGTTTGAGACGTGTGGACACGAGGACTCCCGTAGGATTTGATTCCAAGTGTGGAGGACAATTGTCGGAACAATGTGTGAGGAACTGGTGGAGAAGTGTTGAAGAGATTTCTGGTGAGTTGGATAGACTGACGAGAGAATCTGGAGAATGATCGAGTAACTTGTTGTGGTGAAAGCAGAAAAATAGTGTGTGGAGAATGAGAGGATGGTTTGTGGAGATGAAGGAGATAGAAAAAGGGACAGGAAAATCCGGAGGTCAACGAAACAGTTTTGAAGACCTTAGTGTCCTTAACCCTTTTTCATACTTTTTTTTTATGTGAGGGTTTTTTTTCAGCCAAGCTCACTGTCTGTTACATTCTTCTATAATTATTGTAACCTGATATGTTACCAGTCACTGGTTTTCGACCATTTCGCGTGATTTTAGAGACTTCTACGAGACGGGAAGTCACCTTCAATGGCGAGAAATCATGAGAAGACAGGAGAATAATTTTTTGATTTGGTTTTGCTTTAATTTTGAATTTAAACTGCGCACCACCGCGTTCCAATCTGAGGACATCGCCGAGAATCCACAGGATGCCGAGAGATGTCATCGGACTCCTCAAAATTTGATGATAATTGGATTTTGGATTGTGCCGATAATGGAGCCACAATGCAGTCATTCTAACATCGGA